GGGGGCTTAGGCCATCCTAGGAAAGAGGAGCTGGGGTCCGGCCTGCACTCTCATCTCTTGCACACTTGCCCCTCCCCCTGTCACTACAGAGCCAGAGCGCAGCCTCAAGCCCTACAGCCTGGTGCAGCCGCTGCTCGTGTCCACACTGCGGCCCGTGGTGCTCTTGCCCGAGTGCCTGGCGCCCCGGCTCATCCGCAACCTGCTGGACCTGCCCAGCTCCCGGCTGGACTTCCAAGTGTGCCCCGCGGGTGAGCCTGCGCGCTGGGAAGGGCAGGGCTGGTGGTACCCGGGGAAGTCAGGCCCACTGGCCCTCTGTTCCTCTGTTGCAGAAAGTCTCGCTGGGGAGGACCAGGGCACATCCTCGGCTCCCGGAGCCCCCAAGGCCCAGCCTGCGACCCCTGGCCTGGGCAGCAGGATCCGGGCCATCCAGGAATCTGTCGGGAAGGTAGGCACTGGGGCAGGGGCTGCTGCGATAGGTGGGCTGCAGCAGGTGACCTGTCATGGGACCCTTGAGTTCTCTGACATCTCACAGATTCATCCTTGTTCTCAGACTCGCTCCTGGCCCAGGGGGTGGGGAGGGCCTAGGTGGCGGGCCGGAGGAGGACAGTCACTTACTTCTTCAGGTATCCTGCTTTCCCCTCCTGCCCTCCCTCCGTGCAAGTGCCCTCTGGATGGGGAAGCAGGAACCTGTAGGAGGCTGGGCCCAGGGGCCGGGCAGGGAGTTGAGTGTTGCTGGGCCAGGAGTAAAATGTGGCTTTGACCCCCCGAGAAGAAGCACTGCCTTTTGGAGCTGGGCGCGCGGGGCGTGAGGGAGCTGGTCCAGAACGAGATCTACCCCATCGTCATCCACGTGGAGGTGACCGAGAAGAACGTCCGGGAAGTGAGGTGCGGTGGCGTGGACGGCGGGACCCCACGCTTCCGCCTGGCTGTCTCTCTTTCCTCTCTTCGTCTCCTCCCTCTCGCTGGCCTCTCCCTCTGCTTTTCTGTCTCTCAGGGCATCCTTGCCCCCGCCCTTGACCGCTGCCCCCTCTCTCGGCAGGGGGCTGCTCGGCCGGCCCGGCTGGCGGGACTCGGAGCTGCTGCGCCAATGCCGCGGCTCGGAGCAGGTGCTCTGGGGGCTGCCCTGTTCCTGGGTGCAGGTGGCCGCCCACGCGTGGAGCCACTCGGAGGAGCTGGCCAAGGTGGTGCGCGGCCGCATCCTGCAGGAGCAGGCCCGCCTCGTGTGGGTGGAGCGAGGCAGCGGCAGAGGCGGCCACAGCAGCAGCGAGGCCTGAGGGGGCCCTCCTGACGTCGCCCATACTTCAGAAGCCACCGGAGCGGGGGCACCTGCTGTCTGCAGTGGCTCCTCGCGATCCTGAGCCTTCTCAGACTCTGGGACTGTTGGCCGTGGGGCCCGGCTCTGGCGCGCTCACGCCGGGGAGCCCGCGGGAGCCCCCAGTGCCGGAGCGTCCACTCTCCCTGTACTTGCTGCTCTGGGCCTCTGTGGCCCGCGTGTCTTCGTGTCCCCGGTCTCGGTGTCACCTGCTCGTCCACGTCCTCCTCGTGCCTCCTGGGGGGCATCTGGGTTCTCACCCGTGCCGGCTCACGTTCTGCCCCACCCTGCGTCCTCCCGGGTCCGCGTGATGCCCGCTGTCTGGCTGACACTTCCCGTGTGCACGTCCCCGCGGGGCACCCCCGGTCCATCTCCTCCCGTCTTCTCCCTGTGTCCACGGTTCTCGCCTGTGTACACGTCATCCTCCCCTCCTCCCCCACGACACCTGGGCACCGACGAGTGTGCCCGGTGAGCACACCCAGGACCATGTTCTCTCGGCGCCTGCTCCTCGCCCTGCCTCACCTCTTGGGGGGCCGGTGGGGAGGGGCCAGCTGCTGCGTCATCAGAATGTACAGCTCGTCAAGTTTTCAACGGGCTTTTTACACTCAGAAGCTGCACATGATGGAACATTAAAGTTTGTCATAGAAGCTGCTGGCTTCTGCTTGCTCGCTGCCTGGCCCGGTGCCCCCGCCCCTCCTCCCACTGGGCCCCACCCCAGCTCAGGCTGATACTACCTTTCAGGCTCCCCTCGCCCAAGGGGAGGGTCAGATTTCGCTCTTGACTCATCCCAGAGCCGCTCACCATCTGTGCCGGCATTACCTTACCTGCCCCAGAAAGACCGGAGGGCCCTGCAGATGGGCCACCCCTGCACTCAGCCCTGCCTGTGTCTGCTCATCAAAGGAGTATTTGCCAGAACAGGACTCAGAGGCCAGTGGGGCGTGGTCTTGGGCTTAAGGGGTCCAATTCGTGAGTCCAAGAAACCAAGAGCAAATTCCTCAGTGTGCAATCAGGCCCCTGAGACAGCTCTACCAGAGAGAGGACCTCCAGCGGGAGAAATCCAGGCAGGCTTACTGGAGGTGGTGCCACCTGGGACTCCTTTCTTCAAGGAGCATTTATTGGACCACTGTTCCGTTCTTGGTCCTTCTATGACTGTCCTCAGCTACAGGGATAAACGTGGGCAGGGCCCTGGGGGGCTTGAGAGGAGTGGGTATACTAGGGGTGGGGCATCCTCACGAGCAAAGGTTCAGAAGCAGAAAATGGACTGAGTTTGGCCACTCAAGGAGTCGAAGGAAATGGAACTGTGAAGTCCAAGTTAGGGGGTGGGGGCTGTCTATATCTTAGTGATCCTCAAAGCCTGGCTCAGACACCATTTCCCTGAAGTCTGCCTGATTCCCAGGCCCTTGGGACTTCTGGGCTAGGCCACCCTCCGCCTTGTGGTAGGATGCTGGCTCCCCGTGGATGGCTCTGGGCTCCCCAGTGTGGAGACCCCATCACTCTCATTTGGGTAGACACACCGCTGTGCACCTGGCCCCAGCTTGGTCTATGGAATAGTCTGCGAGAACCTGAGACTCTGGCCCAGTGGCTCTGCTGCTTTTGCCTGGGCCCAAATTCGGTGTCCTTTCCTTTGGGGGGAGGAGCCCTTTAGTCCTTTAATCCTCATCAAGTCTTATTTTTGCCCCCATTTTATAAATGATGAATGTTCAGAGAGGGGCAGTAACCTGCCTAGAGTCACATGGCTACTGAATGACCCAGTCAGGATCTGACCCTGGCCTGTGTAGCCAAAGCCTGGGATCATCCTGGGTGATGCCATTCTAAGAAGGCAGTCTGAGAAGGGGCTGGCCTGTGCTGGCCGGGATTCCAAAAGGCTGGCTTTTCTTGCCTCTCTCTCGGCAATGCTGATGCTTGCACCACAGCAGGCCCAGTTCAGTTCACCAACAATCTGGTGCTTCCTTGCGTTTAATTAACAAATATTTAGTCCCTACTAAGTGACAGGCACTGTTCTAAGCAAAGGGAATCCAGTAAATAAAAAGAAGAAATTCCTGGGCCTCCCCGGTGGCGCAGTGGTTGAGCGCTGGGTTGAAAAGCTGCCCGCAGCTTCTGCAGCGCCGGTTCAATCCCCGGCCGCTGGGCGAGGGTCCCACATGGCGCGCAGACCTCTCCTGCCGCCCGCTGCTCCCCTCAGCAGTGTACTTCGTCAGTCTGCCTGTTCTGTTCCCTGCTCTGTCTCTGGTGAATCCTCTCACCCTCCCGCACTTCTGACTGTACCCAGTGCTGGTATAAATAAAATAAAGACAGACAATAAATTAGTAAAATATACAGGATGTTGGATGATGAAAAGTGCTGTGGTGAGAACCTAGTAGAGAGGAGGGCCTGGCAAGGGTGGGCCTGGAGGGTGGGGCAGGAAAGGGGGGCGGAGAAGAGGGTTACAATTTAAATAAAGTAGCCCAGGAAGGCTTCATGGAGAAGGTGACATTTGTGTAAAGACCTGGCGATGATGGAGTGAGAGGTGGTATCTCAAGGAACAGCAATTGCGAAGGCCCTGAGGTCAGTACCTGGCCTGGCTGAGAACCCAGAGTGTTTACAGTGGCGGGAACAAGGGGACAGTAGCAGGAGGTGGGGTTGGGGTCAAGGGGCCCAGATCATACAAGGGCTTAAGGGCTGGTTTTTGTTTTCAGAGAGGTGGGAAGCAGTGCCGGGTTCTAGCAGAGGAGGCATGAGATGTGAGTGCCCTTGTGGTAGCTGGAGAGGGCCCTCTGTCCACTGGCTTGGCTGAGAGAGAGGCAGCTATAATAATTGCCAATGGAGATAGGGCAGGTGGGCCCCTGCTAGGCAGGTGCCCCCACTAGACAGGTGCCCCAGGGGGTCTCCTGGGCACCAGAGACCTAGGCCCCACCTCCTCTGCGGCTGACCTGCTCCTTCATCTCAGGCCATTCTGTGCTGCAGGTGCTCAGCTATACACCCAGCGGTGCTTCCAAAAAGCAGGCAGGAGGGACATCTGCAGTCCTGGGGAAGGGCCGTGGCAGAGGGGAGCAGGGTGCAAGAGGGGAGGGGGCAAAGCAAGGAGACAGCAGGCAGTCTCGAGTCCCCAAAGTGCAATCCTGGTGCTGAGGTGAAGACAGAGGAAGCCCGCAGAGTACTGTGGGAGCCTTCCCGGGAGGCTTCCTGGAGGAGGGACCACCAGGCCTGAGTTTAAGAGTCTTAATAGAATTAAGCCTGGCGGAGGGAGCATGGGTGGGGGAGCGGTTGGGAGAGCCTGGGGAGCAGGAACAGTGTGGGCACCAGTGGGAGGCCCCACGCGAGGACCCCACAGAAGAGCCGGGGTCGGCCGAGCGGAGCTGGTGGTCTCTGGGGACCAGGCAGGCTGGCGGGGCCCTCACTCCCCCCGGGCACGGAGGCTTTGCTGTTGCCCCCCAAGCCCCCGCAGCAGCTGCTCCCAGCGTTGTCCCTTCAGCGGCCGCCGCGCTCAGCCACTTCTGGGGCGCCCCGGGGCGGCCCCGCCCCTCGGGTTACGCCGGAGGCCGGGGCGGGGCTCGGAGCGGCGCGGCGGGGCTGGAGCAGCCGAGCAGGTGGAGGGCGCAACGGCTCTGCCATGGCTCAGCCTCGGGGTCCAGGGGGCCAGCTCCCGCCTCTCCCCTCCTTGCCGGCCCCGGACGCCTGCTAGGCTTTTGCCTGAGCTGGGCCCGCCGCTTGAGCCTGCCTCCCCTCCGGGCCCGCAGGGATTTGGGGGCTGAGCCGTCTGGGGTTCCAGGGCTGATGCAGTGCCGGCTCCTCCGGGGCGCGGCCGGAGTCCTCATCACCCTTCTGTGCATGGGGCTGCTCTCCCTAAGGCACCGCTCGAGCCCGGCCGCCCAGGATGTGCAGGAGACCCCTGCGCTGAGCCCGGCCAGCCCTCGGCCCCCCGACCTGCAGCTGCACCACATCTTCATCGCTGTCAAGACTACCCGCGCCTTCCACCGCTCGCGCCTGGAGCTGCTGCTCGACACGTGGGTCTCCAGGACCAGAGAACAGGTGACAGGCCGCTGCGGGCCCCAGGAAGTGGCCTCTGGCCCTAGGGGCTCGTGGACACCTCTGCTGGCCAGGGTCCCTTGGCAGCCTGGAGGAGAAGCTGCCTGCCAACTCAGTTTGGGCTCATCTTCCCATGCCTCCTTCCTCTCACTCCTGAGGGCCGGGGGTCTCCCTGGTGCCGCCTGTGCTCCTGGGTAGCAGGTGCCCCTCAGGCCGACTGTCCCATCTTTTCAAGTGGCCAGGGTGGCCACTGCCCCGGCTCCTAGGCCCCTTCTAGAAGCCCCTCTTCCCTGGCTGCTCTGGCCCAGCCTGGCAAGGGGGTTCTGCCAAGTGGGTGTTGGGAAGGGGTGGGAGCCCCTGGGAGGTCCTGACTCCGGCAGGTGCCCAAGCCAGGCTGCCCCCAATCCAGGCCTGGGTGCTTTCCTCTGCCCTGGCTGTGAGGGTGGAGAATGGGGGCTGAGGGGCTGAGGAAGGAGCCATCTTGGTGGCCCCTTTTTGGGGGAGGGAGTGGGGGGCATCCTTTCAGATTCTTGACAATCCTGCCCCCAGGCCGCTGCTGCCCTCACCTCCTGAGTGGGTTTCCTGAGGAACGTTTCAGCGGGAGGGTGCGTGTGCGATGGTGGCTGGGGAGAGGTGGGCCGGGGGCCGGGGAGGGGCCTGCGGGTGAGTGGGAGCGCGTGTGCCGGTGTCTGTGTTGGAACCGCCGTGGCCGGAGGCGTGTTGGTGACAGGACTGTGGCTTATGCCTTTCCAGGGCGGCAGCCAACTCCCACAAGCTGAGTCCCTTCCAGCTCTCCCCCTGCCCCCCACACACCAGTGCCCCCCTCAGGCAAAGTCAGCCATCTGGGATGTTGGGGCCCATGTCCGAGGAGGTGGAGGGGCAAATTTACACACACACACACACACACATGCGCGCACACACATGCTGTCCCCACTTTGGCTGCTGGCTCAGAGGGAGGAAGTGACTGAGCATTTGGAGGGGGTTGGGGGCTCCTGAGAGATCAAGCGGGGGGAGGTGATTCCTGGAAGAGACTAGGGTTCCTGGGACTCCTGTCTGATTTCCTGCACCTGACGTTCTAGCACCTGGATTAACGCTTCCCGTGCCAGGCTCCCACCACCCCAAGCTCTTCCTTGGGGCCCCCATCCCATGAGTTCTCATCTTGGGGACGTTCTGGTTCCGCCCTCGGAAGCTGCTGCGCCTGGGCCTCCCTGCAGACCTTCCTGTTTATGGCGCTGTGTCTGTGTGTACCCGGGAACGTGGCCTCACGTGGCCTGAGGCCCTTTCCTGTCTGTCTCGATCACTGCGTGCCGGTGCCTTGCCCCGGATGAGGAAAGTGAGGCCAGAGAGGAGGAAGTGTGTCTCAGCGTCACTCTGAAGGCCGGAGGGGGCAGAGTCTGGGGGGTCCAGCCCGTACTTCTCTGCCACGACCCGAGAGCCCAGGGATACCCAGGTCCCTGAGCAAGAGGAGCGGGCCGTGGGTCTCCGGCCTGGTGGCTGGGACTGGCAGAGCCAGGCCTGCTGGGGACAGGCAAGCAGCCACCCCCTCTGTGCCCCAAGTCCAACCCCAGATACCAGCCAGGCAGTCAGGAGGGTAGCTGCCAGCTGCTCTGTGACCCTCACAGCCTCCCCCTGGCAGGTAGTGATCTTCTCACATTACAGGCGAGGACAGCGCGCTTGGTTGTGTGGAGGGAGGTGGATTCATTCAGTGCCCCCCGCCACCCGCCGCCAACCTCCCTGCAAGAGCTGAATCTAGAGGTTCTGTCCTCTCAGGCAGCTGAAAGCAGGAAGGATGCTCAGGCTGGAGGGGCAGTCTGAGGGGGGAGGGGCAGGCAGGGGGACCCACTCTCATCACCACATCCTGGCCCCTTCTGTCTGTCCTGTGGCTCATCTCTGTGGTCTTGACCAAGGCCCTCCTTTTAGCCCTCAGTTTCCCCGTCTGCACAGGATCAGAGCCTCTCTCAGCTCTGCCCCGGAGCCTGTTAACTCCCGGGCCGGGTGCCCGCCCCAGCTGGTTAAGGGCGGCTGGGTGGCAGGTGGGCCTTTGTGGCAACAGGCTGGGCTCATGTGCTGGCCTTTGTCCTGGGTGGAGGGGGCGGGCCGGGGAAGGCTTGTTTTATGCTCCAGGGGGAGCCTTTCTCTTCCCTTGAGGGCGGGGGTGGGGTGGGTGGGTGGTGGGGGCTGGAGGCAGAGGGTGGGAGAGCAGCAGCCTCATGTGGCCCCTCTGCAGCAGATGGCCCTGGCCCCCGCCCCCGACCCCAGCAGGCGGCCTGTCCCTTTGTCTTCCTGTGAGGTTTTTAACCATTGTCCCCTCTTTAAACAAATTCAATGCAACCCTCACCTCAGAGGAAGTTGCCCACTGCCCTGTGCCAACCTCAGGATGCCCAGGGACAGAAACCCCAGCCTCAGGTGCCCTCCTCAGCCCCTGGCCCTGCTGGGGACACCTTGTTTGACTGATTCCTGTCGTCTTACTCATTCGTCAACAAACATTCCCTGGCGCATTTGGCTCATGCTCCCAACTCAAGAGAGTTCCGCTATCTGGTGGCTGCTTGTGGCAAAGTTTGCCAAGCAGTAGGGCAAGAAAGGCTGGACTTACTTTACTGGCCCCCCGGGGGCTGTGTCCCATGCCGGCTCAGTGGGGGGCTGGGAGCGAGAGAAGGTGAGAGGTGGCCGCTGCAAAGCAGGGGAGGGAACAAGGATGGGCTCTGCAAGGGGGCTCCTGAGGGCTGGCTGCGTCCCGGGTGGCTTGAGGGTCAGGTGGGTAGACCTGGCAGACCTGGGGTGTGAGAGAAAGAGACGAGGCATAGTGACCCCAAGGTGTTGGGCCCAGTGAGATGGGGCCGGGGGAGGTAGCTGGTTCTGTCTGAGGTGCCTGCTAGGTGCCCGTGGCCTTGGGCGACTTGAGAGCTTAGAGCGCAGGAAGAGGCTAGGCTGGGGGTACAAATGGAGACTCTTCACCTCCCTTCAGGCTTGAAAGCCGAGAGGCTGGATGGCTGTGGAGAGGAGAGGGGTAGGGCTGGGGTGGGCCATGGAAGCCCAAGGACCCGAGGTAGCTAATTCTGACGGTGGGAGGTAGACCCCAGGTGGAGGGGTTGAGGTGGATGCTGCCCAGGCCTGCCTGAGGGGAGCAGGATACCAGGGCAGGGACACAAATCAGGTGAGGCTTGCACCGCTCCAGGACGTCAGTGTCTGGGGGAGAGACCAGGTGCTAGAATTTCATAGCTGAGAGGTTGCTGTTGCCATAAGGCAGAGCAGGAGGCTGGGAGGGGTGTCTGGGAAGACTTCCTGGAGGAGATGATGATTCAGCTGGGAGCTGGGGGGCGAAGGCTTGGTGGGGTGTATATATGGCATATTTGGGGAACTGAAAGACCTTTAAGAGGAGCCCTGGGGGTGGGGCAGGAAGTGATGAGATCAGGCTGGATCTAGCACAGGGGAGGGGACAGGTGGCACCTCCCTGGCCACACTTAGGAGGGTGGTCTTTATCCCAAGGGCAGTAGGGAGCCAAAGAAGGTGTTCACGGGTGTGGTGAGTCTGGGTATCATCTGATTCTGGTCTTGACAGGAAAAGAGATCCTAGGGTACAAGGCAAGGGCGTACAGTCATCCAGGTCCTGGGCCTCAGGAAGACAGGCCGGCTCCCTTCCTGTGCCCAGTACTGGTGTCTGGCTGCCCGTGCCTCAGCTTTCCTGGGGACACAGAAGCTGAGTCTGGCTTCACTGCCAACTCTTCCTCGTTCTTTCGCACATTTTCTCCTGTTTCCCCTGCAGCCATCACATTCCTCACTTTAAAAGTGAGTAAAGCGGGCCTCCCCGGTGGCGCAGCGGTTGAGCTCTGGGTTGCGAGGCTGTCCGCGGCCTCTGCAGCACCGGTTCAATCCCCGGCTGTTCCCCCCCACAGGAGGAGGGTCCCGCATGGCGCGCAGACCTCTCCTGCTGCCCGCTGCTCCCCTCAGCAGTATACTTCGGTCCTTCTGCCTGCTCTGCTCCCCGCTCTGGCTCTGGTGAATTCTCTCACCCTCCCGCGCTTCTGACTGTACCCAGTGCTTGTATAAATAAATAAATAAATAAATAAAATCTTAAAAAAAAATAAAAGTGTGTAAACCGAGGCTCAAGGCAGGACTGTCCAGATCCAAAGTCCTGATTTCTGGAAAGGAGAGAGAGGCCTGTGCAGGAGCAGGGAGGGAGGGCCCCTGCATGTGGAGGCAGGCAGGGCCAGGCCCCAGGTGTGAGTGGGGCTGGGAGGGCTGAGGGGCTTTAAACAGGTGGGGTGCTCCCTTTCTCCTTGGTTGTCACTTAGCAGGAGTTTAGCCCCACCCCGGGCCCTGCGCATGCAGCCTAAGTGTCCAGGAGCCTGGATGTGCTGGGCACGCGGAGCTGCTCGGGCAGGAGGGCTCCGTGAGCCTGCTGGGTGTGGCTCGTGTTAGCCTGTCGCCACCGCATGGCTATCTTGCCCACTTGCTGCCTCAGGATGGTCTGTGTCTGCCTCTCAGCCAGTGTCTATTTGGTATATTTGGGGGTTTCATAGCTTCTACATGTGCAGGAAATGGTGGGGGAGGTGTGAGGCCAGGGGGCCGGGATCCCCACTGAGCCATCCCGGAGCCTCAGTGTTGCCATCTGTGAAGGGGACAGACCCCACACCTGGCCAAGGTTCAGCGAGGTCCTTGGGAGGCAGGTGTGGGGGGCTCCTGGCGAGTGCCTCTCTGAAGAGAGCTGGCTGGGGGTCACGATGAAAAATTTCTGGGACACAGAAGGACCCTGTCTGTGTAGTGAGTTTGTGGCTGTGAGATTGTGACTGTCTCCCTAAGTGCTGGGGCTTCTTACGTAGAGTCTGTCTCCTGACAAAAGGCTTAGGGGGGGTTTCCCTGTTGGTGCAAGGGGTTAAGCACCGCACTATGAAGCTGTCCGCAGCCTCTGCAGCACAAGTTCGATCCCCGGCCGGCCAGGGAGCAACCCACATGGTGCAGCAGACCTGTCCTGACTCTCCCGCTGCTCCTCTCAGCAGTGTATTTCAGTCAGTCTGCCTGTTCTGCTCCCCACTCTGTCTCCGGTGAATCCTCTCACCACCCCGCATCTCTGGCCTGTACCCCAGCTCTTGTATGCATAAATAAAATCTTTTAAAAAAAAGGCATTAAAAAAAGGCATAGGGATGTGCGTATGTGATTGTGGAAGGGCCAGGTAGGAATGGTGTGTGTGTGTGTGTATAGAGTGTGTGTGTGTGTGTGTGTGTGTGTGTGTGTGTGTGTGGTATGGGAGTCAGTTAACTAAGATGGCTGTGCTGTCCTGAGGAGTATTACACAGAGAGAGGGCGTGTCCTTTGCTGAAGGAGATGGTGGTCTGGCCGTGACCCCTCAGGGCTTGGCTGTGGTGGGCTTCTGGGCTGACCTCAGGACAGCCTCTTGATGCCTCCTTCTTCTTTCCAGACCTTCATTTTCACCGACAGCCTGGATGAAGACCTCCAGAAGAGACTGGGTAAGGGCCAGGCCTGCATGGGGTGGGGATCCATCTGCTGTTGCTGGGGAAAGCCTTGGGGTGGAGGTTCCCAGAAAAGAGCTGTCCACCCTTGGCAAGTGGGGGTCCCCCTCTGCCCAGGAGAGGAGCAGGCTTCTTTCCTGGCCACAGGTAGTAAAATGAGGAAGAGCTGTGGTGGCTATGGCCCTAGACAGCAGGTTGCAGCTGGCTGTGTGCATCAGCTGCGGCCCTGGGGTGCCAGCCTTCCTTGGTTGGAGTCCCCTGTGTAAAGTGAGAGTGTGTGGGCCGCCTTCAGCTCTCTGAGATCCGGCTCTTCACCTCAGAGGGTGCAGGGAGCGTGGGCAGGAGCTGGGCAGGCTCCCCTGATTGGTCCTCACTTCTCCAGGGTCCCACCTTGTGGTCACCAACTGCTCCGCGGAGCACAGCCACCCAGCCTTGTCCTGCAAGATGGCTGCTGAGTTCGATGCCTTCTTGGCCAGCGGGCTGAGGTGAGTGGCCCGGGTCTCTGGGGGCAGGTGTGACCTTTGCCTCAGGTCGGTTCCTTCATGGGATATTGTGTCCAAAAAGTGAAGCGTGTCCTGTGAATATGATCGAGCAGGAGCTCCTGGGTCTGACTCTGTCAGCCATCGGGAGAGCAGTGTGTGGTGGGACTGGCAGGTCTGGGTTCAAATCCTGGCAGTCACTGGCTATGTGACCTCGGGCAAGTGTCTTACCCTCTCTGAACCTTGGTGTTCAGCAGGAACACCTTCTTTGCCAGCCTACACAAGACGTTGCCTGGTACCCAGCAGGCTTAAACGTTAGCTACCCCCACACCCACTCCTTAACTCTTGGTTGAGGCAACCAACAGGCAGCTGTGGGGATGGCTCAGCCCTAAGAGCCCCCTCCAAACTCATCGCCTGCACTTCTGTCCCCACAGGTGGTTCTGCCATGTGGATGACGACAACTATGTGAACCCGAGGGCGCTGCTGACCCTGCTGAAAGCCTTCCCCGCCACCCGCGACGTCTACGTGGGCCGGCCCAGCCTGAACCGGCCTATCCGCGCCTCTGAGCCACAGCCCCACAACCGCACGGTGGGCCCCCTCTCCTGCCTCCTAGGTCCAGTCCCTTCTTCCCAGAGCCGGCCGGGGTGGGGCATGGACTAGAGAGTTGGGGGCTGCTTTCAGATTTGCCATTATGGTATGTTGGGGCTGGGGGTTTCACCTACTGTCTCCTCTGTGACATGGGGACTCTGAGATAGTACAAGTAATGCGTGGACACTGGCAGAATAGGGTCACTGGGGAGCACGGGCTTGTCCTGGTCCCATAGTGAATCGGGGGGCTCCTGGCCACCTGCTGCCACACGCAGTTGTATAGTTGTTAAGCTGGAGTGCTGCTGGCCTAGTGAATCCCTGCTGCTTGGGCCCTGAGGGTCCCCTCCCTGAGGCCTCCCCCCCCTGCAATCCCCAGATCTCACTGTCCAGTGACTGAAGAGTTGACACCTGGCACAATAGGGTCCCCAGCACCAGCTTCAGCTCTCGGCCTGGATGGACACGCTCAGGATGGCCAGATTTAGAAAACAAACCCAAACCCGGGATACCAGTCAAATTTGCCTTTCAGATAAACAACAAAGACTTTTTTACTTTAAGTCTGTTGCCTGTCCTTAGAATGCACAGGCTGCTGGTGTTGGGGTGGCCCAGGCCCCTAGGGCTCCCTTGGCTCCAGAGAAAAGGCCAGGCAGGGGTCCCCCTCTGTCCCCCTCTAAGGCAGTGCCTGGAGCAGTACCGGCTGCGGGGGAGCTCTGTCCTGCCCTCCTCCACCATCTGCTTCATTAGGGAAAGCAAGAGCAGAACACAAAACCTTAATTATCAGCAGCTAATCAGCCTGTGAGTCCTAATTAAATCCTCCTGGGCCCTGGGGGGGTGCACGTGTGAGTGATCCCAGGTGAACCCCTTACCTCAACCACTCAGCTCTGCTTAGGCAGTTTGCCTTAAGGGTTAAGAATATTCTGGGCTTGGATTCCCTGGGTTCCCATGCCGGCCCTGCCACCTCCTGGCTTTGCAAACTTGATGGAAGTAACTTAACCCCCCTGTGCCTCAGTTTCCTCATCTGTGAACTGGGTGATGATAGTTCTTCTCACAGGGTGGCTGTGAGTGAGAGGAGGACTGAACGAGGCCAGGTCCGCTCTCCAGCCTGGAGGGAGCCCTGCCGGCCATGGACACCAGGCAGTGTCCCCCATCAGCACCTCCGCAGCAGCCGTCCTTGTCCCTGTGGGTTCATCACTGTAGGGGCAGGAACAGGGCACAGTGCAGGTTTTCTGATCCCATGCAGACCGGGTAAAGGAGGAGTCAGAGTCCTCAAGGGTTTTTTTGCAGGTCTTTTATTGGGATTACCAGGTACACGGCAGGCAGGGGTGCTGGGGGGCCGGGAGGCTGGTAGGCCTCCCAGCCCCCAGCAAGTCTTCACTCTCTCTGCGCTCTCCGGCCTTCTCTGCTTCTCTCTCGGCTTCTGCTACTTCTTTCTCGGCTTCTTGGCTTCTACTGGCATCCCCGTGACGCCGCCCTTAAAAGCCCAGTCTTAGCCCAGGTGAATCCCATCTACCTATGCCCACACCCTACTCCAGGGGCCGCCATCAGGCGTGCACTCGGGACCGCAAGGATCCATCATCTATCCTGATGGCGGGAGGGCAGAAAAGCCTGACATTTTCTTTACCCTACACTTGGGCTCCCCAGGGAGGGAGAGCAAAGGGGGCAAACTCCAGTTTGGGGTCAGACCCAGCTCTGGAATCTCTGGCAAGTGACCTCCCTTCTCTGCACCTCAGTCACCCCATCTGCAGCACAGTCCGGCACAGGGCTCAGCCGAGTCAGCACTCAGGTGACTCTTGTTCGGGTGTAGCTACTGTTTTTATATGGCAAGGGAACTGACACTGACTCTTTCATTAAACATCTGACCTCTCTGAGAGGTAAGGCTTAGTGGTCTTCGGGAGGGCACCTCTGGGCCAGCCTCGGGTCCCAGGACTGGAGCTGCGCTCACAGGTGACAAATCTCACAGGCTCAGTCACTTTCTCACAGTGACACAGCTGTACGGTGGAGAAGGTGGGGTCCCCAGAGCCAGCTTCCCCGCTCCCTGGCCAGGGCTGTTCGCACCCCTGCATCCCAGGGGGTAACTCAACCTGATCCACATGCCTCAGGACAGCACCAACTGCGTACTTGCAGGACGGAGCCTGCTGGGAACTTACTCAACCAGGAGATGGTAGAGCTGTAGGGATGCAGAGATTCCCAAAAAGACTTAACAGAAATTTGTGGGTTAACTCATGAGTCCTCACAGGGGGAAGGAGAGGAGGCCTTGGGCAGGGGCAGAAAGTGGTTTAACCCCAAAGGGCTGTTGTGGGTTCCAAGACAGATGTCAAAGAGTTTGCTGACCTCAGAGGCTCCTAGGCCTGTCGGGCCTTCTTCTTTACTCCGGGAGAGGCCTCATTCTCTCTTTTTGCAGCTTTCTCCCAGTCCTAGGAGTTGGGAGTCCTGGTTGTTGGCAGCGGGGAGACCAGTGTAGGTAACTCAGTGTGGCACCAGGAATATAGCCCCGCGCACCCCACAGGAGCTTCCTCATGTCAGCGTATGGAGTTCAGGAAGGGCTCTGATCGGCTGTTCCAAGTCATGTGCCTGCATCTGAGACCACCACTGGGTTAGAGGGTGTGGCCTTGTGATCCATCCTTCCTCGGCACCTGCCCACTTCTGTGGCCCAGGGGTGCAGGGGGTTCCCTGAGGAAAGGGGAAGGTGTGCTGGGATAGGACACAAGCACTCTTTGGGGTCAAATGGGTGACCCCCATCATTCTTAATCAGCTGCACGACTTTGGCCTTGGTTTCCTTATCTACAAAATGGGTACAATAATGTCAGACTGTAGCGAGAGAGATGAAAACCTTGGAGCCAGGCTGGCTGCAGCTGGGCTGACTGGCTCACTGGGCACCTTGGTCCTCTCCCTTCTTCCCTCAGAGGCTGGTGCAGTTCTGGTTTGCCACGGGTGGTGCCGGCTTCTGCATCAACCGCAAACTGGCTCTGAAGATGGCCCCGTGGGCCAGGTAAGCAGAGACTCACAGGTGGGGGGTGCTGGGGAGGGTGGCAGGTGGTTGTGTGTGGGTCCTCTGTAACTGGGAGGGCTTGAGATCCAGCTCGGGAGGAGCTGCCACTATTGAGGCCGTGTCGGAGTTACAGTTAGTGGATACACCTGTTGTCTGCCACACACAGGTGAATTGTGCAATCCCTGGAGCCTTGGTGCCCGTCTGTACAGAGGACCTGAGACATGTGGCCTGGCTGGTGTAAGGGCCAGCCCACAAAGTGCCTCTGGTACAATGGGGCCAGGCGAGATGAGGTCTCACCTACAGGCCTCTTCTGACCAGTCAGTGTCACAGAGGAGGGGAAGGTCAAGTCCAGGGGCACTTGGAGGAGGGAGAAGAGCCTTTTGCGTGGGAACAGGAGACAAGGCTTCCTGGAAGAGGTTGTGTTTGAGCTGGGATGGCCCTAGAAGGCCCCAGATAGAGGGGGGTCTTAGGGGGATGCGAGTCCTCAGGATGGGGGATGGGTGCTGGTATTCTAGAGTGGAAGTGGCAGAGGTCTGGCCTCTGGATGGCTGCCCGGACAGGCTGTTGTTAAGAACAGTAGGATCCCATCACTACCTTCCACGGAGGGATGACTGAGCCAGGTGTGTGCCTCACCGAGTGTCTCAGGACAGGGGGCGGGGGTGTTAGCCTTGCTTTTAATGGTGGAGCAAACGGGCACTGAAGTCAAGCATCTGACAGGTGCAGGGTCCCCCAGGTCCCAGGCCTGTGTGCTTTGTTCCTACACCAGTCTGCCCTGCCTGGCAGGGGAAGTGCCCCCGGGGGATTCATGCCCCATGTGGCAGTGGAGATGCCATCCTGGGCAGATTGGCAGCAGGTGTGGCAGGGCTCATCCTGTGCCAGGTGTGCCCCCCACCCCGGGCTTCTGCTCGCCTCTCTGGGACCTCTGGGCAGGTGTAGCCCTGGGGCACACGGCCGGGAAGGAGAGGGAAGACTGGATTTCTGGGCCTATTCACATGCCCTGGGCTGGGCATCCTGTGCAGGGGGATGGTCTGCCCAATCTGGTCCCCAGGGGCATTACTGGGGTGTGTGCAGTAAGGAGCTACCCTTTCTGGGACACTGCTCCCCCAATACCTGCCTGACCTGAGCTCACCCTGTAAGACACTTTAAAGATGACCCTGCCACGACTGAATAAAGCAAAACAAAAACTGTCACCTCCTCTGGGAAGCCCGCCTGTGACTATCAGTCCTCACTTGCTCTCTGATGTCCTCTGAAATGACCTGCTCATCTGTCTGTCTCCCCCCAGAATGGGGGCTGCTGCTGAGGGCAAGAACATTCTTTAGCTCTGTGTCCTCACCCCTAGCCTGGGGTGGCACCAGGTGGCTGCCCAAGCTGAACAGTGACTGAGTGGGTGAGGGTATGAAAAGAAAGGGCGGGAAGAAAAGGACACATTGAGAAAGGCTTCCTCTCTATCCTCCGCTCGGTCCTCACAACAGCTCCATGAGGCAGAGCCATCACTATCCCCCTTGCGCAGAAGAGGAAACTGAGGTCCCTCCAGGTTGGTGACCCGTCCGAGGTCACAGGGGGCAGAGCTCTGGCAACCCCAGAGCTGGGAGTGTCTGGGAGGGTGTCTGGGAGGTGGGGAGGGCTCCAGGTGTCGAGGGCCAGGCCCGTGGCCACAGCACCACTTTGCCTCTCAGTGGCCCCCACTTCGTGGACACCTCTGCCCTCATCCGGCTGCCTGACGACTGTACCGTGGGCTACATCGTGGAGTGCAAGCTGGGCGGCCGCCTGCAGCCCAGCCCCCTCTTCCACTCCCACCTGGAGACCCTGCAGCTGCTGGGGGCCCTGCAGCTCCCAGAGCAGGTGAGCAGACCCGGGGCAGGGGAGCAGACCCGGGGCAGGGGAGCAGACCCGGGGCAGGGGAGCAGACCCGGGGCGGGGGAGCAGACTCGGAGCAGGTGAGCAGACCCGGGGCAGTCAGACTAGGGTACCCACTGTGCCCGGCACCACATTGGGGGTCTTTGTCCTCTGGTTCCCCACAACATTCATGAGGTCGGCCCTAATCATTCCATCCTACAGAGGGGGAAACTGAGGCTCAGGGAGTGGAACTGACCATGACACACAGCTAGTGGCGGGCAGGGCGGGAGCTGAGCTCTGGCTGGTTGCCCTGAGCAGTGTTGAGCCTCTGGGCTTTGCTGTCTCAGCCCACTCCTCGTGGGTGGCCTGAGGCTCTGTGTGGGAGGGGTTTGCCAAGGCCCTCCGTGAGCCTCAGGAACCCTCTGTCCAGGCATCTGACTAACTGGAAAGGTGCCTCAGTTTCCTGATCTGTGGATGAAGGATCTTTCGAAGACCGTGGGGGCTGGAAAGTGCCTGCCAGCTGGAAGCCCCTCGGGCAGGGGTGTGGGCTGTCAGCAGAGCTCCCTGTGCTGACGGTGGAAGCCCAGACACAGAGGCCCGAAGACCTTCTGCACCCTCAAAATGCCTTATTGCTGATGGGGCCCCTGGTGGGACACCCCCTGACTGTCACTCTCCTCTCTGCTCAGGTCACGCTCAGCTACGGCAGCTTTGAGGGGAAGCTCAATGTCATCAAGCTCCAGGGTCCCTTCTCCCCGGAGGAGGACCCCTCCAGGTGAGTCTGGGGGCTGGAACCAGACCTCCAGGAGGGGGCGCGGGGAGGGGTGGCCCCGAGGCTGAGAGCACAGACTGAGTGAAGGCAGCGGCTCTCAGGCCCCACGCTGCCCCTGGCTTGCTGGTGATCTTGAGCAAGTGCCTTGTCCTCTCTGGGCCTCGGTCCGCCCATCTGTGACCCAGGGAGGCTGGGCATTGTGGATCCGAAGAGCTCACCCTGTCCTGACCCCTGGATTCTTCAGGGCCCTTGGAAGACTGGAATGTCTTCCCTAAGCAAAGGAGCTGCTCCAGGGGATGAGCCTCTGGCGGGGAACTTGTGTTTCATCTTTTTTAGGCTGTTTCTCGAATGGGCAGCGGGTGGGAGCAGGGGCTGAGATGCCACCCAGGAACCTTCCGGCTCTGCCCCTAATCAGGCCACAGGGAGCTTGTCCAGCCCAGCCCCCAATTGCTGCAGGGCCATCCAGAGCGGTGACCTCTGGGCAGGAGGGCGAGCGCTGCCCGAGGGGGTCAGGAAGCGGGTGTGACCGGAGGCAGGACCAGTGGAGGAGGCCGTGGGGACCCCAGGCCTTGTAGGCTCTGTCTGGACTTTGGGTTTCTCTGAAGTGTGTAACCCTGGGGAGGCCGGACTGAAGCCGGGTGTCCTGGGCGGGCGGAGGCCTCACCCCTGCTCGGAAGGCCTGGGGCCAGGGCTGTGTTAAACAACTTGGACATTATGACAGTTCGGCTCCATATTGGGATAAAAATGCAAATGTCCAGGATGAGAGGAGCTGCCTTCTCGCGGGGGAAGCTCTCCATCAGTGGGTGTGGCGCGCTCTGACTTTTCAGCCAGAGATTTAAGGATGGATGCTAAATTCTTTCTGAGCCTGAAGATTCTGGAATCCAGATTCCTGCCTCGTAGGGCTGGAGCCAGCCGGAGACGCAGGTCGACGTGCTCCGGTGGGCCTCAGCTGAGGCGCCCTCGTGGCTTCCCTGGACTTGGACGCCTCCGGAAGCGGTGCTTCTCTGCTGGGCCACTTTGTCCCTCCTTCCCCCTCCACAGGGACATTTGTCTGGAGACATTTTCATTGTCCTGACTCAGGAGCCCGCGGGGGTGAGTGGAGCAATGGGGTGACGTCTTGTCCATTTCTGGTCTCCCCGCAGGTTTCGCTCTCTCCACTGTCTCCTCTACCCAGATACTCCCTGGTGCCCCCAGCTGGTGGCCCGATGAACCCTGGTGGACAGAGGTTGGGCTGAGGCCTCGGATACACCCTCGCCTCCCTAGGCAGCCTTGAGGGCCCATGGCAAGTGCCTGTGGTGGACAGTCCCCGGCAGGGCCCCGAGCATGGGCAAGCCCAGGATTGGAGGCTGGCAGAGAAGCATCCCTGCGCCCTGGGATGTGGGCCGGCTGCCCCGAGACTAGGTGAAGACCCAAGAGGTCCCAGGGGCTGGACTTCTGTGGACTTTGGGGTGTCTGAATTGAACAAGGGGAGGGGCTCTCAAGCCGGGCTGGACTCAGGGGTCCTAACCCTCTGGAGAGTTACTTAGGGGGCCATGTGGCAGCTCTGTCTGTTAGTGCAAACCGAGCAAGGTCAGCAGAGAAGCTTCTGGGGAAGCTTTTGTACCCCTGCGCCCCATCTTTCTGCCGTGAATATGGGTGTGATGTCTGGCTCTGGGGCTGCCGTGTTGCTACCATGAAGCAAAGGTCAAGACAGCACCTGCAGCTGTCCCTCCTGGCATCTCTTTCTGTAAGAAAATTAAACCCTTATTTGTTCAAGGCTCTCTTGGTCCAGTTTTCTGTCGCGCGCAGCCTGGCTGGGGCACGGTCTTTGATCTGTCACAGCGGCGATGGTGGCCTCTTTGGGGGTGTTGTCCATTTCGTAGATGAGAAAAGGAACGCTTGCTTCCTGGAGCGGTGTCTGGGTGGGCAGCACGTGCCAAGGGCCCTGGGCCTGGCCTGAAGGAGGAAGAGCTCAGTGAGCATGATCACCAGTGTGTGCCTGGGTCACGCGGTGCAAGGCGTGGGAGGGCCTGGACCTTCCACATGTCTGTGCCTAAGGATGCATGTGTGGTGTGTGCCCATGCACACGTCTGTTCGTGATGTACGCATGTGAGTTCGCATGTGTCTCTAGGTGCTGGTGTGTGAGAGCTCACCCCTTTCTGCCTTCGGGGCGGTCAGAGATGAGGGGAGGAGAATGTGGGCTCAGAGTGGGGGCTCAGTCTCTGGAATCAGATAAAGGGCAATTTGACAGCCAGGGTGGGAGTTGACTACTTGCAGGTGCCCTTAGCAATTTCGGGTCCCAGGGGGTTTAGGTGAATGACTGAGCGATCGTGGTGATGTTTTAGGCCTGGTGGTGCATGGGTAGTAGAGGGAGGAGAGGAAGTCTCTTCTCCCCACCCACCTCGTGCCCAATGATTTTGGAAGCTGGGGTCACAGGGGATTCTGGACTTGGGGAGGAGAAGGTGAATCCTGGGATGGAGGCCATCTAGCCCAGCCCTTGGACTCTGTCTGGGATGTCTGAACCCCAGGGCACCAGAGCCTCAGCCCTTGGTTTCCAAGGAGGACCCTGAAGGCCCAGAGAGGGATTGCATGTCTCTGGGGCCACACAGCAGGCCAGGGTCAGAGCTGGGCCGCTTGTTCTCTTCCAGAGCCGCCTTTGTTCCTGGGCTGACCCAATGCTGGGTGTATGGGGTGGAAGCTCAGCGGGGGCAATGGCGCAGCCCCTTGCCCTGCCCCCTGCATGGGAAGGCTGCTGGCCAGCCTGCTTTTAGAAGCAGCAGCAGATTTGCGGGTTGTTCTCAGATCCTGGGGGTCGGATGGAGGGAACAGGACTCGGCCATCTGCTGCCTCCATTGTCCCAGAATAGCTGCGTAGGGAGGGGAGCAGAGTCAGCAAGGATCAGAATTGGAATGGAGGGAGGAGGGTGACTGTGCTTAACCCTTTGTTCATCTGCATGGGAGAGTGCAGCCGCCTGCGCTCTGTTTCACTAAGGTGATTCCCATGGGTCCCACAGGCAGGGACTGAGAGGGAAGTGGGGGGGGGACCACCCTGTCTCGGCCTTGCTAGGCCCCTGAGTCAAGTACTGTTCCCACTGCACAGATTAGGAATGTAGGCAGAGAAAGGGAGGGAGGGAGTCTCTTGACCCATTGGTGGCCCCTGATCACCATCACAAAGTGACCACCTGACAAGGGTCGCTGCCCACCACCCACTTGGTAGCTCTGCACAGCTGGGACCCTTGTAGACATGCCTGTGCTAGGGTGACCTGTTTACCCACATATTGGTTGTCTGCCCGTCTGACTGTGGACGCCACGATCCCAGGTTTGTGTTGATCTGTGCCCTGCAGCTCTCTGCCTGGCGCAGTGGATACTCAGCGAATACTGGTGGGATGAGTAGAAAAGATGCAAGTGTGTTTCTCCAACCTCTTCAGCTCTGTCAGTTTTAGGATTTCATGAAAGGAGCTAAACCCACAGAGGGTAAGGTGAAGAGGGAGCATTGTCATGGAGAGATCAGGCTGATCACTTTTAGTACCACCCAGACCTTAAGTGCGCCTGATAAGGTGCACCCCCCAGGATGCCTGCCTGCTTGCTGAACATTTGACCCCACACAGATCAACCCCCTGGGCACAAATACCAGGCTGCAGGAAATGGGGGGAGGGGACACGACAGCAGAACATGTTAAATGACACCACGAGGGCTCCCTCCACCAGCTCAGCCATGAGGACGATTCCACAGGACAGAGGATTTGCTTGTTGATTTCTTCAACAAGTAAAGTCATAAATAAGAAGGACCATCAGAGATTAAAATTGATTTAAGAGCCATAGCAAAACACCTCAATGTATGGATCGTAGTTTGATTTTGATTCAAATCAATAGATCCTAAAGAGACATTTTTGAGAGAAAGGAGGAAACTTGAACATGGGCTTTGTATTAGATGGTTTTCAGAAATTGTTAATTTTATTAGGTGTGATAATGATAATGAGGTTTTTTTTTTAATTTTAAGGAATGTTCTAATATGTGAGAGGTACATTCTGAAATATTTATGGGTGAAATGACAATGTCTGGAATTTTCTTTAGAATGATGCGCGAGAGGAAGAACGAAATTAAAAGGGCCACAGGGGGATGGGAGCCGGAGCAGGGCCTGGACACGTGGGTCTTCCTTATGCTGGTCCTTTTACTTTGGTTTGTGTTGGAAAATTTCCATAATAAAAAGCAAAATTAACTACGGAAGGGATGTGGATATTCCATATATTCCATTTTGCTGGCAGGCTCTGCCCCTTCCCTTTCTCTCTCCCCACCCCCTCCCTCATGCCCCACATTCAGGCCCAGACAACATCTGTTTTCCTCAGACACAGCTGTCCTGACGCCACTTCCTCTTCTCCCCAAACACCCGGAGAAGGGAGAGACAGAGACAGGCCTGATCAGATGCCGCAGCCTGGTCCACATTTGGCCCGGAGCCTTCGTTCCCTGGAGCCCACCCTGATTTCTTCGGGCTCTGAACTTGTCCTAGCTGCTTTGTCTTGGGCAGTGGACACATCCCCCCGCCCCCAATACCTTCAAATCACCCATCTAATAAAAATTTACTGCTCACCTTCTGGGGTGGGGTGTTAGAGGCTGCACAGGGAAATGAGGTGCAAATCCTGCTCTCATTAGGGATCTCAAATCACAGTTGGGACAGTACGGAGAATGTGGCATGTCATGTAGTCAGTGATGAAACACCCCCCAAGGGGCACAGGGAGGGGAGACTACATCTGGGGAGTGTGCGGGGCAGCAGGGACCAGGGAGACTCACTGTGTCTGGGCCTTGAGCTGCGAGGAGGCCGGAAGGAGCTGCACGCAAGACCCTCTGCCTTGCAGATGGGGCTTGGGAGGCCTGAGGGGAGATATGCATCTCAGCTGTGGCTATGGATGCCACCATTGTCACAAGCCTACTTACCTGCGGGATAAAATGAGGTACGTACTGGGCACACAACTCTTTCTCTTTTCCCCTTTCCTTCCTACGTATCCCCCTGAATAACTTTGCAAATTCCTCCCAGGCAGAGACCTGGCTCAGTGTCTGAGTGTCTGGCATGATGCTGAGCACAAAGCAGCCTCTTCGTGAAGATCAATGACTAGGTGAGTGAGTCAACCTCAGGCTAGTATGAAATTGACTGTGTGAGTCACAGGTCCTTGGTAAAAACAGATTTTAGGGTCCCAACTTGGATCCTCAGCACCTCAGAACTCAAGTCTCCAAAGAAGGCATCAGGGAATGTGTACTCTTACCTGGCTTTCCAAGAGGCTCTAAGTGGCTGCTGGGTTAGAGAATGAGGTGGGGTTGGAGGTGGGTGAGTTCAGCACCACGGACAGAACCCCACTGCTGCCGCCCTCTGCTCTCCCCGCGCGCTCCTAGCTGGGGCGGGGGCATTCTATGTGCTCATGTGATGGGGGCTCAAGGTCTAACCCTGAGGGGTGCAGGTGGCACCTGAGGCCTTGGCCCCCATGTGACACAGCCCTTGGCTGTGCTTCAGGAGCGCTGGTCCTGCTGCGGGAGACAGCTCTGACTCTGCACAAGGAGGGACACTATAATAAATCTCCTTTCCATTTCTTTAATAGTTGTAAGTGACCCCCATACTGTGCAAGCCGCAAAGCATAATGCCTGAGTCTCTGTGAACAAATTAATCCCCCAAACATGGTTTGTGCACCTACTGTGTTCAAGGGCTGCACTGGTGGCCAAGGGGCACGAAGGATGAATGAGATACAGCTGCTGCCCCAAGGAACCTACATCCTGTCAAACATGGCTCATTGGTTGTTAGAAGGGAGAGCAGCCTCGAAGATAACCAGACTCAGGTCGGTGAGTGTGAGGAATAGAGAGGCAGCAGGAGCGTGGAGAGAACAGACTCTTGGAGAGAGGCTTCCTGGGGTTGTGACCTGATGCCAGAGCCCACCTTGTGCATGCTGCTAGGAAACAGCCTCAGTCTCCTAACCTGAGAACTGGGAGTGATAATACCACCCCTGCCCCCGCAGGGCATTTGTAAAAAAAGAGCCTGCTCAGCCCAGTGCCCAGGAACCAGCTCAGGCACGAGTCATCGATGCAGACCCTGTTTTTATGCCGGGTGGGGGGCCGGGCACTGTGAACAGGATGGGTGAGAGCTGGCACCCAGGATTCCCACTTTGGGGGCGTAGGAAGGAGTGGCTCCTGCTCTTTCTCCTGCTGCAGCCAGACTACACTTCCCGCCTCCCTTGTGGGGAGGGTGGGCATGTGGCTGAATTCTGGCTGGCGGCCGTGGCCCACATGCAGGTCTGGCCCATGAGAACCTGCCCACACCCGATGACCCCTCTTTGTCCTCATCGCTGGCTGGATGGAGAGGACACTGGGGGGCGGGGGAGACGCTCAGGTCCTGGAATCTCCTTGTGAAAGTCTGTCCAAATAGCTGCCCTGAGCTGGTCAAAAAACCACCAGCCAACACCCCTGAGTTTTGGGGTGTTTGTTACAGTGCTCAGCCCACCCCGACTGAGACAAGGAGACTCTAGAAACTGGCAAAGAAACCAGCCCTCCAGAGAAAGGTGGCGCGATGAGAACACACACCAGGGACAGTGGAGCATCTTCGCGGGAAGACACTTTGTGGATTTGTCTTTAAATTCTTCTCAATGTAACTAACAAACCTCAGCCCCTCACAGGTGCTAGTGTGACCTTCTCTTGTTCTGACTGCCTAACTTCCACCCCAAGACACTTGAAACCCTCTCTAGTGTGGTACACAGATCACTCCCACAACCCCCCTCGCCCCCCACACATTCTGGG